CCGATTTAGAGAGGCGCCTGACGCAAGAGCAGGCTAGGTCTCCCTATAAGCGAGACATAGTGCTGTCCACTTGATCGCATTGACAAACCGTGAGCCTGATCCTGCAGCGCATATGCCATCAACCAGTGGCGGAGCTACAGGGTGGCCAGGGTGGGCCGCGGCCCACCCTGGGATTTTTGGTCAGCCCATATACCTATGGATCGTTGGCTGGGCCAGATAAAAAATAATGGCCCAAAACACTTACGTGTTACGAATGCAGCCACAGCCCACGGCCACTTCGTCATCTACATTGAGGCAATGGATTGCGTTAGCAGAACCAGCTGCAGAGCCGCCTCGTCCCTAGTCCCGATGCCCTTGCAGTCGCAGAGCCCCTCCCGCCTCGCCAGTGGCGGTCGCCGGCGCCCAACTGCTGAGGAGGTTCCGCCTGCCTCCTCTCCTCCCCCTTGCGAGCTGAGTGTGCCCCTGCTCTGCGTGGCTGCACCCCTACCCCGCGCGGCCTCCTGATGCCCGTGCAAAGCCGGCAGCGGCTGCCCATTGCCCCAGTCCGGCGGCAGCACCTCAGCAGGTGAGCCTGATTTAAGGTCTCAAATACCCAATTTTATTTTTGATTTAGGTTTTTTTGCTGTGCTATCTATCCTATAGATGAACCGACCAACAACATAATTCTGTGCATCAATTCTTCCCCAAATAGCTTTATTGATAGAAAAATTCTTATTGCAGAATTGTTCGAAGAATGAAGAGGGAGGACCGAAGACATTGTTTCTCTTTTTTAGAGAGAAGTTGTGAAGAAAGGGAAGAAACATAATCTTTTTGAACTTAAGGTATGTACTTACAATGGTTCATGTAGTATGTACTATGTAGGCTTATTTATGTTAAACTTAGACTTAATTGAGAATTTAGTGTGTTTGTCAGACCATATTGATCTATTTTTGTGTGATACATGTAATTAGTTAGATCATTTGTCATAGTATTTGTTATCAATTTTTTTCCTTTAGGGCGGACCACCCTGTTCTCAAATGCTAGCTCTGCCACTGCCATCAACGTCAGGGCATTTTCAAAAGAGACCCTCAAAATTCATGTATATGTCTGGACTATGGTGTGCGGATCACTTTTGTCAATTTTTGCCATCCAATGAAACCCCCTATCGGTCAGTGGAGCAGCCCAGACATCTATTTTCCGGCAAACAGGAAGCAATTTGGGGAGCTATGCGGGAGAGACAACGAACGTAGCATCGTGACAACGCTCCACCAATAGAATTACAACAGCGAGGAGCTGTTTACAGTTTTCCTCCGTTTAAACCACAAAATGCACGCCAATTTTCAATGTATACGGGCAGACGGGCATTACTTGGTACATGAAGTATATGTTCGTCATTCGCAAAAAAGAGAGTATATTCTTAATCCAGATCTTGGAGGAAGCAGGTCATTCTGACAGCAATCAGCAATTTTTCGCTAGTTGCAAACGGACGAAAGACATCTACATCAGCACTTGCAAACAGTACATGTTGACGCCTATGCATGACTCTGTCGGGCCAATTAAATCACAGAACAACTCCACCCCGTGAACAAGCCCATTAGTGCACCCTGCCGCGTTCTTAAACAAGGATAAGAAGAAACCCACAGGAAAAACAAAACTGGACGGCGACGAGCCCCGGCCCATTATGTTGCTCCCGGCGCGTGCCCTAGAGTCCTAGACGTCACAGGATATGCCCGATCAGGATCAGCGAGCACGGGTTACTCACCCCACAGTCACCCGGCGGCCGGGGAGGGCGGCGGCGGCCGGCGTACGTGCGCGTGTTGCCCGCCGCCCGCTTCGGCCTCTCGTGGTCACGCGATTTGGAGCGTACGGCCGGGCCTCTCCCCGTGAACTCCTAGCGTTAAGACCTTGTCAGCATTGATGGACGTGTTGCCTCCCCGCGCCGCTGCCCTGCCCCGTCGCGCGCGCGGCTGGACCGGACAAGGACGCCGCAGCGGAGAAAGAAAGACTTCCGGCTACGGCGGGATCTGGTGGGGCGCGCTAGCTCGGCGGCTTGCGCCGCCCACACTGACCGCTGTCAGGGTCCCGAACGAGCGCCTGGGGAGAGCCGCCAGCCGGCCGGCCGGCCGACCGAACGGGCTGGCTTGCCGGCTGGCGAATGCGGACGAGGCGGCCTAGCAAGTTGCCATTCATTCATTTGCGGCCCGGCCTTTGTCCCGTGATGGGGCGTGCATGCATGCATGGGCTCCACCGCCGTCTTGCGTGCTTGTTAACCGCTGGTAAATCGTTGCCTGAACTACGGGTACATTCATCTAAAAAAAACTACTACCGCTCAAAAAAGCTACGGGTACGTGTACTTACTACTCCGTACTTAGAAGGTGTTTGTTTCGAGGGACTTATTGGTTTAGGGACTAAAAAAGTCCCTATAAGTCTCATCTAAACCAAACAAGAGGGACTTATAGAGAATTAAAGTGGGCATTTGAGATTTATAAAATAAGACTCTCAAGAAGAGTCTTATAGGAACTTATAAGTCACAAAAACCAAACACATAGGGACTTTTTAGGAACTTGGGACTTAAAAGTTAGGACTAAAAAAGTTGTAGGACTTATGAACCAAACAGGGCCTAATACTACATGCATATTATTGCACGCACGTTCAGTTTCGTACTGCATGCGTGCGGACTTCTCTACCTGGCGTACTGATATGTGGGAAGATAGTTTGTTGTACACATTGGCGCGCACATGTCATGTCGTTCGCGCGCAAAATTTTAGCTTCTTGGAACATATACTACTTCCTCCGTCTGGAAATACTTGTCATCAAAATAAATAAAAGGGAATGTATCTAGATATATTTTAGTTTTAGATACATCCCTTTTTGTCCATTTTGATGACAAGTATTTTCGGACGGAGGGAGTACAAACGAAGCAAGATGGGATTTAAGGTGGGCCATTATACGACTACTAGTATTACAAGGTTATGAACTTCACAGCCTAAATTTTCTGAAACATGGCAGGACGACAATGTTTCGTGTGGCGTAATGAACAATCAAGATTCCTCCGTCCTTGTCCCTTGCTAAAAAAGAAAGTCCTCTGTGTTTGAGTATACCTGAACCTGAAGCAGGCAAGAGTGGAAGTATTTGGGCGGTTTCATTTGTACTACTACTAAACGCCAGCCTGGCCAATGAATACGGTCATGCAGTCCGACATGTGTATGCATGTCAGTATGTACTGTATAACTTTGCTCGTGTGGTGGTCATAAACCAGAGACCGTCCGTCGCTCGGTCCATGCGTGCATGTGCAGCGCTATCCTACCAAGGACCCCAGCGGAACACAGCGTCCAACTGTACATTTTACTATACGTATTCGTACCTTCGGTTTTGTACGGCTCTATGCGGACTTCGATACCTGGAGTGCTACAGTGCGCGTGATCAGACGTATTCTCCGTACGCACCTCAGCACCTGTGATGCGCTTGTGCGTGTGTCCGTTTATCAATCGGTCACATCCCACGGCCCGCAACTCCTTTTGAGCGGACACGGGCGAGGCGGGAAGGGGATTCCAGTTGCTGCCGCGGTACGTACGACTACTTGGACTCTGAGTACCACGGTACTGCTGCTACTACTATAACTACACAACGTAACTGTCCTCCTGTTGTGAAACTGGGGGGTCGAAAGTTTTGTCTAGCGTAGTGCACAATCAAAATTCCTCAGTTCGCTCGAATCCGAAGCATCAAAGTATAGTTGCGGCTTGGTGTAGCTGGCCAACGAATACGATCGTGAAATTTGACACGCATATATATACGTATCGGTGTAGCTGGCCTTGCTAGTAAAGTCTACAGTGTTCCTGTGGCCCCATAAGTCAGATTCTAATGGTTCGATCGTCGACCGATCCATCCAGGAGCGGTTGGCACCAGCCTGCAGGAACAGTATTATCCTACTACTGCTACGTAGCAAGGACCGCAACAGAACACGTACACGTAGACGCTTTATGACAGGACCAGTGAAAATTTACCCCAATGAATACGCTGAGACGAGCCGGTACTGTGGCTCCGTCGACCTTTTGGGCAGCAGGCCTGCGGGCTGAGGCCCCGACGCAATCAAGCCCACACAGTGCAAGGGCACTGTGTCGAGATCCAGCCGTTGATTCGCACGCCTGCTATCCGCTCCAATCTCATCCAGGCCCCAACAGTGGCACAGCTGCTTGTCGTTGCACCCGTCAGCTCGCCCGCACAGTGAAACAACTAGACGCTGGAGGGGCGGACACAAATCAGCCTCGGGCGCAGCAGCTTTTGCACCTGGTTCACGACGCGCGCGCGCGCGCGCACGGTCGCACCAACCCATGCACGTACGCACGTACGCATGCACGAGAACGAAAAGGGATTGGACGTGACAACATGGCAGTGGTGCGGCACGTAGTACACACATATTTCACGAGTTGACAGGACGGTGAGCAAATGAATCGCAACAAAAGCAGCGGTAAAACTAGCCAGCAGTCCAGTGGCATGTCAGTAAAACAGTGAAAGATGAGTGACGATATGTTTCTTCAATAAAAAAGAAAAGGTTGAGCAGTGAACGACTGCATAACTAGTGCACGTACTTGATGCACAAACACAAACAGTTACTTATATCATTACAACGCCATGGCGCCACGCGCACGCATCATTACATTACATGAATAACGGTTACATTGATTTGGATTACACCATCATGCTTAGCTAGCTTTTCAGCTTAGCTTGAGCTGAAGACTAGGCGCATCTCGCCGGCCGCGGCCGGGATCTCCATTAATAACCTCCCCCGGCCGGCCACGGAGTGATGGACATGGAGGAGTACTACGGGTAGCTAGTTAACGAACTGACGATGGATCAGGTGCTACTACTAGGAATTACAACACTAATGGTTACAGTAAGCAATAAACAGGAGTAGTACTGGTGGTAAGAGTATGACGTGGATGCGTGCGTGCATGGCGCCGTGGCGGTGTAATGCTGACCGGCGGCGGCTAGCTTTTAGCTAGCGGTAGGAGTGTAGCTGGCTAGAACTGGCATGGCGATGGAGGGGAGAAGAGGCCGTTGCGGGTCCAGAGGTCGGCGAAGGCGTGGAGGATGAGCGGGTGGTGGCGCGGCGAGTTGAGGGTGAGGAACTGGGTGAGCAGGTCGTTGAGGTCGTCCCACGCGTAGATCTCCTTCTCCACCACCATCTGCACCATCGACTCCCGGAAGTCCTCGTACGGCTCCGCCGACTCCACCGCCACCGGCACGCTCTCCCGCGCCACGCGCCCGTACGCCTCCGCATCCTGCTCCCCGTGCCCGCCGCCGACGCCTCCGTCCCAAGCGGCGCGCCTGCGACGCCGCCGCTGCCTCCGCCGGCGCCTCGTGTCCTGCTCCGGCTCCTGGCCACGGTGGCGCGCAGCGGCGGCGGGGTCCTCGTACAGCGAGTTGTTGGTGAAGGACGCGGGGCCCCAGGAGGCGGAGTCGGCGGAGGTGGCCGTGGTGCCGCTGCGGCCGCCGAGCGTGGTGGCCGTGAACGCCGTGGTGGTGGACGTGGAGGAGGCGTTGGGCGACTTGGGCTTGCCGCCCCTGCCGCGGAACGGCAGGGAGGACGAGGAGAAGAGGCTGGAGAAGAGCTTCGGGCGGCGGCAGTTGCAGCCGACGTCCACCACCGGCGGCTGCCGCAGCGTGAAGCTGCTCCTCCTGGACGACGGCTTGCTCGACATGGCGTGGCAGTGTGCACCGCACGGCCTACCGGGCTACTAGCTCGCTTGGCTGGCTAGAGCGAGGAAGGTGCACCGTGTAGTGCGTCTGTGAGTGAGCTGGGAGTGTGGGTGGAGTTCTTGGAGCTTGGAGCGGGGGGTGGTGGCGCTATATATTAATGGGGCGCCATGTGAGAGCGAGTGAGGCCAGTAAATGGCGAGGGCGAGTAAAGAGAGGGTGACATGAACAGTGCGGCGAGGCCGGGGAGGAGGAGGAGGACGAGCATGTGAAGAGGATAATTATACGTCGGCCTGGGTGAAAATGGGCCGAGAGCGTGCAAGTGAAAATGCATGCCGCGAGAGCCAGGCGTGTACGTGTGGAATGCGGCAGGCAGCAGGCTACGCCATTGCCATGCGTGTGAGCATCGTCGATCAGTCATCAGTGCATGGCCGCAAGATAGTATCCAGATTGGATCCTGGGAGGGGAGGAGGATCGTGTCAGCGGCTGCATGCATCAATGGTTCCCTGTGAGTGTGACTGGACAGTGGGTGGTTAATTTCTGCGCAGCGAGTTCAGAGCAGGGGGTACGTCGGACGGCAGGAGGGCATGGGGTGGTTCGGGCGGTAAAAAAAGAGATCTTGTCACGGCTTTGGTAATATGACGAAAGTCTGCTGCTGAGTTGACCGACTGTATGCATGTGAGGACAAGCTGGCCATGCTGCTGGCCGGGCTCTGGCTGGTGGCCCAGCGGAGCGCCAATCTTTCTCTGTCGAGTCTCTGTTCAAGAGATCTTTTCTTTTCCCAACCCACCACAGTACCGATTCCTTGAGAAAAAAAAAACTCACAATAGTAGTACTTGGCTGAACAATTGGCTCTTTTTAAAAATAAAATATGTCCATAGCATCATATCAGCGTTATTCTGCTATATATGTATTCTTCCCCTCCCCGGCCGCTTTAAAGAATTAATTACTTTCTGCCACTGGCTAGCTAGCTGACAAAAAACCTAACCAGGCCTTGTTGCAGGTTGCACGTACGATCAGTACATAGCCGCCGGAAATAAAACCCTTTTTTTGATCGAATGGAAACGTGAACTGCCAAATAAACTGCATCTAATACTCTCCCAGCATATTTTACTGGACGTCTGTACATATACTGAGTCAAATGAATTGAAATAACCACATAGTTGATGTGCAACTCTGCGGAGATTTTAAACAGCACATGATGCACAAGGTAAACTGATGTATTCATGGATGGCTTTTCTCCCTTTTATTAGAAATTGGCGAGGAGAAATGCGCAAACCGCCAATATTGTATGGTAGGGCCATCTTTCATCGCGGAACACTTAAGTAGGCGCTTAAATAGATAAAAAGTGAAAATTAAAAAAGAAGCTACTCACTCTTGACTAATGCAAGGCGGTAAAAGGAGGGAGGTGGTAAACACCAACGACGAACTCCTCTGATTTTCATGCCGCAAGTCAAAAAATAAGAAGCGCGCAATCCTATTTTTTGCGTCGACACCATAGAAGAGATCGGGATTCTATCTCCCAACTGCTCACCGCCAGGGTTGAAATACCGACACCCATTGTCGGTTCTATATCCGGCATATCTTGTAGTAGGGGTCCTATGCTAGGTGTCTTGGAGCGATGATAACATGGATACATGATTTTTCCCAGGTTCGTGCTCTCTTGAAGAGATAATATCCTACGTCCTCCTTTTGATTGTATTGATATAGGGGATCGTATAGAGTACATGTATCTACCACGAGATTGTTCTAATCAATATGAGATCATCTATTGACTAGCCCGGCCTCGGTTTATATAACGCACCGAAGGCCTAGGATTTAGAGGAGTCTTCGTATTGTGCGCTAAGTCTTTGGGAGTCTTCCTTGTATGCGTCATGGGCTACCCGAAGTGGCCCATTAGTGAACCGCCATGGGGGTCCTCGGCCCGATCCACCTGATGGGGAGACGACGTGGTGAGTACCTCCCTAGTCCTTGACACCGTTAGTAGCCCCCTGAACCGGTCTTCAAGTTGGGGACACTCCTCGGTTCTTCCGAACTGTTCTTCGTTGTTCAGCCGCCGGTCTTGAAATCTAGTTCAACAAATCTTCCCATCTTCGATCTTGAGGATCGCCGAGCTGAATCCGAAGAGTGCACACGTCGGGCATCCGAGGAGCCCCTTAAGTTTTCGACCTTTACCTATTTTTACGCCACACCTATGGTTTGAAGTGTTTCCCGTGCGGCGGTGTCCTCTTGCGTCCGAGCTCCAATGCCGGACTGCATCCGAGGTGTCCCTTTGCAGCCGAGCTCCAACGCCAATCCGCATCCGAGATGCCTTTTTGCAGCCGAGCTCCAACGCCGATCTGCATCTGAGGTGTCTTTTTGCAGACGAGCTCTAACGCCGGCCTGCATCCGAGGTGTCATAGATCACCTTGGTTTGAAAAAGTTAAAGGAGTTCAGCCGAGCTTAATGCCGGAAATGCTCTCTATGGAGTCAGCCACTTGTGCCCGAGCTTTACGCCGGACTGCTACCGAGGTGATGCACCACCTCGGGCTTGGGCTGATTTTTTGCGCATATATTTTTTGTTGGTGCAATTTATTCTCTGCCGAGATATATAGCTAGTAGCCCTCAAGGTGTGTGTGTCAGCCTAAAATCCAAGATCCACTTGAAGGAAAACATGAAAACCGTTGATCCCAGTAGACCTTGAGGCTCAGGCCGATTCACGAAATCGGCCTGAGGATCAACTCCTAGCTCGCCAGCATGCGTAGGAATAGAAACGCAGTGTGCAGTAGCCCCCGAGACTCAGGTTGGTGCGGCCGACCAACCTGAGGATCGTAATCTCCTCGGTAACTATTTTGCACTTTATTTTTTTTGCATTGAATCGTCAATGCAACAGCCCCCGAGCCTTAAGTTGGACACGGGTGGCCGAATTAAGGATCGTTATTCATTTCACACAAATTCAATTCTGTCTCAACAAGACTGTGCCCTCGACTTTTGAATAGACGACTTGAAGTAAATTAACTTTGTCAAGTATGTGTAATGATTCTATGTATCAAAGCACTTTACATCATTAATTCTCGGATCCGCATCGTACAAACTTTGTTGACTGACCATCGGCTTCAACCTCCTCGGCCAGTAGTCGAGGAGTGTTTTCCTACTTTATAAAGCCGTTATAAGGGCAAAGATTTACGGAAAACAAGGCAATCCGGCCATACGGTTTTATAAACAAAGGCACACAGAGAGGTATGTTATATTACTATTTAACATAAGAAACATCTTTACAAAAAAATAGTTCCTTTATAGGTTCCTTTTCCTTGACTATCATGTTGACCATGATCGTGGAACCTCAACTCCGATCAATGTGGGAGGAAAATATTCATGATTTAGTTTGGAAAAGTTCCCGAACTCTGTGGTCTTTAATGAACCAAAAATTTCACTTTCGTCGTTGCCGACCAATTATGTTCTTAAGATGACTAGCTTTCGGCTTCACCCAATCTGAGGTACTAGCCCGGATGACCCGGAAGTAACAATCACACAGGTGCTCCCTTTACCCCCTAGCCGGACAATCGGGAACGTAAGGGGTAAGCACGTGAGCCAGACAACCCAGCTTGGCCAAAATCTTAAGTCAAATTGATGCATATTTATAACGATAATTATGGAAGGCGCTCGTATATTGTGAAGGAAATATGCACTAGAGGCAATAATAAAGTTGTTATTTTATATTTCCTTATTCATGATAAATGTTTATTATTCATGCTAGAATTGTATTAATCGGAAACTTGATACATATGTGGATACATAGACAAAACACTGTGTCTCTAGTATGCCTCTACTTGACTAGCTCGTTAATCAAAGATGGTTAAGTTTCCTTACCATAGACATGTATTGTCATTTGATGAACGAGATCACATAATTAGGAGAATGATGTGATGGACAAGACCCATTCGTTAGCTTAGCATTATAATCGTTCAGTTTTATTGCTACTGCTTTCTTCATGTCAAATACATATTCCTACGACTATGAGATTATGTAACTCCCGGATACCGTAGGAATGCCTTATGTGCTATCAAACATCACAATGTAGCTGGGTGATTATAAAGATTTTGTACAGGTATCTCCGAAGGTGTTTGTTGGGTTGGCATAGATCAAGATTAGGATTTGTCACTCCGAATATTGGAGAGGTATCTCCGGGCCCTCTCGGTAATGTACATCATAAGAAGCCTTGCAAGCAAAGTATCTAATGAGTTAGTTGTAGGATGATGCATTACAGAACGAGTAAAGAGACTTGCCGGTAACAAGTGTGAACTAGGTATGAAGATACCGACGACCGAATCTTGGGCAAGTAACATATCGATGACAAAGGGAATAACGTATGTTGTCATAAAAGTTCGACCGATAAAGATCTTCATAGAATATGTGGGAGCCAATATGAGCATCTAGGTTCCGCTATTGGTTATTGACCTAAGAGGTGTATCGGTCATGTCTATATAGTTCTCGAACCCATAGGGTCCGCACGCTTAACGTTTGATGACGATTTTGTATTATATGAGTTATGTGATTTGGTGACTGAATGT